AAACTGTTAAATTAGTATTATAAACGACGTTGTTAGTACCAAAAATAGCAACCAATAACAAAATAATGAACATAAATCAACAACATGCATATTTCTGTAAAAATAAATTCATGCAACCGTTCCTGAAGGCATGTTTTCTGTGCCATGTCCTGGATGCAAAAGATAAAAAAAGACACACTACAAATTAAATATTTAAAGGCATGGAGAAAATAGAGGTGTTTCTCGTCATTGGCAGCAGGGGGCTACTAATTATTATGTACTGCAAAATGGAACAAAAGAGCTAGGCCACTGTTCATGATTGACATGCGATGGTAGCAGTAGAGACGCTGCTCAGATACATGCATTGCATTGTTCTCCTATATGGGATTATAAATGTGTGGCAGGTTAATCAAAAGCAGGGGGAACAAATTTATAAAGCAGTAGCTATCCGGATAAATTGGATCCCTATCTTTTATACTATTCATCGCGTTTTTCTTCCTCTGTGTCCTGCTATGAAATTGGCAGATAATGAGATTTTGCTTCTGATGTTCCCCGTGATGTTCACCTTGCGAGACCGTAGCCCTGTAAAAACTCAACAATTTTGAGCTAACAATGGGCATAATTGGCATCGAATAAAATGGCTTTGATTTAGGGCGAGCAACCGTTCAATGATAAATCGGGATGACTACAATGCTTTTTCACGTGTCTTACGTTTGCAAAATCTCGCGCTCATGATGACATAATTGCTTCATTATTTTGACCTTATTGATGGAATAGTACCTGGATTTGAAGTCAGTTATCGTCCGTCTGCATAAGTTATCATATCAGCTTAATTTAAGATAAGTTTGACATTATTTTGTCGATTTTTTTTTTTAATTCCATGCTCGTATTTTGAGTTGATAAGTATTTCAGATACTATAGGCATCATTTTCTTGAAGCGCATATCCAGACTTCGGTAAATTTTAGAAGATAATTACAATGTTTCAGAAATTCAGATTGATATGGCATTGTTCTATCGTAAATCACTTTGAATATAATTTTATGCGTGCTTGTTTTTTTAGATGATAATTACGATGCATGACTCAAACATCCCCTTAAAAAGTAGGGACATCACATTTACAGGGTTGTTCGTAATCCCTTATAAGGGATTACCTGCTAATCGCCTTAATCCTATCATAGCCCCTATTCAGGATCTGACAGTTATATTCATGAGCCAAGGGCCAGGGAGTGATCTTCACAGTGTAGTGCACGTGTAGTTTTGTGATATTGGTATTCATTTTTTTCAATCATTTTTGTCACTGCGTAGGCTTACTCTTTGCCATAAAAGCCTGTATACATCGGCGATATATAATTGATTCGCTTCTCTCCCCTTCGATCTATCTCTCTTTTATTTTCTCAAGCGCCTGGTGATAACCGTGATATTGGTATTCATTTTCTTCAATCAATTTTTTTATTTTCCGTCGACTTACTTTTTGTCGTAAAAGCCTGTAACATCAGTGATATATAATTGATTTCGCTTCTCTCTTCTCTGCGATCTATTTTGTCAAGCGCCTGGTGATATTGGCATTCATTTTCTTCATACATTTCTTTCGTTCCGTCGACTTACTTTTTGTCGTAAAAGCCTGTAACATCAGCGATGTATAATTGATTTAGCTTCTCCCTCCCCTTCGAGCTATCTCTCTTGTATTTTGTCAATGTCCTGGTGATATTGGAATTATTTTTTTCATTCATTTCTTTCGTTCCGTCGACTTACTTTTTGTCATAAAAGCCAGTAACATCAGCGATATTTAGTATAATTGAATTCACTTCTCTCTTCCCTGCGATCTATCTCTCTTTTATTTTGCCAAGCGCCTGGTGATATTGGAATTCATTTTCTTCATTCATTTCTTTCATTCCGTAGGCTTACTCTTTGTCATGCAAGCCTGTAAGATCAGCGATATTTATTTGTTTTCGCTTATTTCTCTCCCGCGATCTATATCTTTTTTTTTTCCTTCTCAAGCGCCGATGATATTGGCATTCATTTTCTTCATACATTTCTTTCGTTCCGTCGACTTACTCTTTGCCATGAAAGCCTGTAACATCGGCGATATATAATTGATTCGCTTCTCTCCCCTTCGATCTACATGTATCTCTCTTTTATTTTCTCAAGCGCCTGGTGATAACCGTGATATTGGTATTCATTTTCTTCAATCATTTTTTTTTCGTTCCGTCGACTTACTTTTTGTCGTAAAAGCCTGTAACATCAGTGATATATAATTGATTTCGCTTCTCTCTTCTCTGCGATCTATTTTGTCAAGCGCCTGGTGATATTGGCATTCATTTTCTTCAATCATTTTGGTCGTTCCGTCGAAAGCCTGTAACATCAGCGATGTATAATTGATTTAGCTTCTCTCTCCCCTGCGATCTATCTCTCTTTTACTTTGTCAAGCGCCGGGGTGATATTGGCATTCATTTGCTTCAATAATTTGTTTCGTTCCGTTTACTAACTTGTCATAAAAGCCTATAACATCAGCGATATTTAATTGAATTCGCTTCTGTCTCTCTCCCGCAACTCATTAATTGTTTTATTTTCTCAAGCGCCGATGATATTGGCGTTCATTTTCTTCAATCATTTCTGTCGTTGCGTAGGCTTACTTTTTGCCATGAAAGCCTGTAACATCATCAATATTTGATTGTTTTCGCTTCTTTCTCTCCCGCGATTTAATGTCTCTTTCATTTTTTCAAGTGCCAGTGATATTGGTTTTCATTTTCTTCATTCATTTCTTTCGGTCTGTCGGCTTACTTTTTGTTATAAAAGCCTGTAACATCAGCGATATTCTATTGTTTCCGCTTCTCTCTCTCTCCCGCGATCTATATCCTTTTCAATTTATAGTACAAGTTCTAGTACACACACACACTGAGACAAACGCAGTTAATCTGGCACACTCGTGATTAAAGGTATTGTAGTCAAGGTGATTACGTAATAGATAATTGTCCCTCGCTAGTTAAGAGGATTAGAGATAATTAGATTTACTTGGAGGAGAGGTAAAGGAATGACCTGTGAAAGTGATGTCCTGAAGCCCGAGTAAGCAGGGACTTAATAGGATAAAGGGTAGACTCGACGTTTGGGGCATGGTTTCAGACATTTTAGGCATCAATTTCTCGAAGCGCATATCGTTAATTCGTTCAGTCAATTTTAGAAGATAATTACGATGTTACAGATATTTTAGGCATCATTTTCTCGAAGCACATATCGTAACTTCGTTCGCTAATTTTGAGAAGATAATTAGGATGTTTCAGATTAGTTTGGCATTGTTTTATCGTAAATAATTTTGAATATACTCGTGCTCGTATTTTGAGATGATAAGTACGATGTTTCAGATATTTTAGGCATCGTTTTATTGAAGCGCATATATCGTTCCTCCTTTCGGTCAATTTTAGAAGATAATTACGATGTTTCAGATATTTTAGGCATCATTATCTCAAAGCACATATCGTAACTTCATTCCCTAATTTTGAGACGATAATAAGGATGTTTCAAATTAGTTTGGCATTGTTTCATCGTATTTAATTTTGAACATACTCGTGCTCGTATTTTGAGATGATAATTACGATGTTTCAGATATTTTAGGCATCATTTTCTTGAAGCGCATATATCGTTCCTTCGTTCGGTCAATTTTAGAACATCATCTAACAAAACTAACAAAACTAACAAAACTAACAAAACTAACGGGTAACGCTAACGTCTAACGGGTAACGCCTACAAACGTTAAATATATAATTAACGTATTGCAAACGTTACACGCGTTAGGGGGGTTAGTTTATTTTGACTCATACTGTATAAAGGTGAGTCACAACAAGGACCTTCCAAGATTTGAGTTACAGACTTGGCTCATGGGCTGCATCTATGGTATATCTTCCATTGGATTACAGTTTACGTGTGCAGTGTTTGTGTACTGGAGCAAACAGTGACGTCAGGATAACAACAGGAGGGACAATGGAAGGGGTACAGAGTCTGCTCCCACTCATACCCAATTGGTCCTACAGTCAGGTATACACTGTATGTGCAGACTGTACTAGTGTATACAGAAACTAGGACTTCTGGGCCCTGTCTTAAAAGTGGTTGCAAATGAATAAAATCAAACTCAACTCTGTACTGAAGAGAAATGATTTGTAAATTTGAAACTGAATGGAGGACTTGTGATGAATTAGGATCAATTACAAGCCTTAAGAAGACACAGCTAAGAAGACACAGCTGAGAAGTCAACTGGAATGGCAATAGTTAGGGAATGATGCATGTCACAGGGTTTAGCAGAACTAGAGTATTTGACATGTTATTAATGTAAAGTGTTCTACATAGAGTTGTATAAAGTAGGGCCATTTCAATTGATACAAATTCCATGTGGAAATGCACTGAAGTGGAAAAAGTAATAATCTTATGACCTAGTAAATGACAAGGACAAAGTTCTACATTTGTACATGGCAAGGCATCATATCCACCTTATTGTCTCCAGCCGACTCATTATCATCCCCCACGATAAAATATTAATTAATTTTGAAGAGAAAGCTTGGATCACGAGGTAAAGACAGACTTCAAAGAGAAAAAAATATCTCCAAGTAGATATTATGATCATGTTGAAACCCTGTCCTACTTTCCCATTCTAAATTGATACAGAACATCAACCCCTCTCCTTCCTCTAATAATATCTGATAAGCAACTCATTACTACAGCAGTATCTACATTTTTTGGTATCTAGATATCAACACATTCCTACATATCCCAAAATTCATACACCAATCACGTACGAAACATGCAAATAAAACCATCAGGTAGTAATACATCCGTGGATAACAGTGAAAGTGAAATGTGTTTGTGTACATGTAGCAGCACACACCTGACTGAAAAGGTCATTGGTTCATACCCGAAACATAACACTCATCCCCTCAAAATAGAACTATCCGCTCCTATGGAGGGGATGATGGCTAGAGAAGAAGAAAACAAAAGGGCCGCCCACAGGGTGCATTATTTGCCCATTACTCACCACAAATCTTCAAGGGTGCCTCCAACTCCAACAGATTTGGTTGACTGAGGAAGATTTCTCGGGATTTGAGACAGAGACCGCGGATCTCTGCTTCGGTCAATTGTACATTCTTGCCAGGTCGGGAGCCACGAACTGCAGAAAGGAGAGAATAAGGACAACTTTTGAAAAATTCTTGAAAAACAGATTTATAACAGAGTGCTCTTGACAAAGTCCAAATCAATTCATACAAAAATACATTTCTGAATTATCATAAGTCAATCAGTAATAATGATATATATTTGTAGAAAATCTCCTTCCCAGTCCCATGCCATGTACTTTTATTAAATTTCTATTATTTCATTCTTTTCCCCCCACCAATTTAGACTTTGTAATTTCCGATTTAACCTATCATGATGGGAGATACAAACGCACGAATTGACGATTGACATATCACGCAGCATACGATCAGATGTACGAGTAGTGAGAGTATACAATGCTTTCAAGTTGTCTACATGTAGATGTACAGATGTATCTCACAAATCCTACTTAATTGCATTCAATTGTGCTGGGTGCATTCATAATATGGCCCCAATGACAGACAGGTGTTACTCGGTGTCCTGCAACAAATCATCATCTTAATTGATGAGCTGATAAATTGTCTCCTAACCTTTGCATGTTCTAATAACAGTGATGCAGTCAAGATTGTTCAAGCAAACTGATATTCTTAGTAATATTTGTTGTTCTGTATTCATTTACATGTTTGTAATTTGTGTTGTACTATTGCAGGGCCCCCGAGTATAACAGTGTTTTACTCGCAGATGGGGTTACCCTGGGTAAATAAAACAAAATAAATAAATAAATAAATACATGCATATCTTGAGGTACATTGATTAACATTTTTTACATACATGTACGTGAACATATTCATGTACATGTACACACATGTATCGGTTGCTGTATCACTGCACTACAGTCACCATGTACATGTACATATTGTGATTATTGTCTTATTATTGATACAAATTTGCAAGACAAAATATGCTTCCAAACAGTCATTATGACTACCGTAATTAATCAATGCCATATCATGTCTATGGATACCCTTTCAAAATATGAAAGCCCTTTCTTTATAATTTGTTGAATGACTCATTGTTATTCTGTCGACTTGAACGTTCCTCATAGATCCCAGGCTTCAAAGAATACAACCAACCGGTGGAAAATCCACAAGCAGCCTCAGTGCTATCCCTTATACCTGGCAGCAATTTCTCTACCACTTGACAAGTGCATGCATGCATGCATATAATTACTCTCCCGTCTGTGCGTAGATGCATTGGGCTATAGATAGAGAGCCTAGTTGCTTCCTCATGCCCTCTTCCAATGATGTGCGTGCAATAGGAATGTGTTTGTATGTATGTGTGGCAATGTGCATACATACATGCAGGGCAGGCTACATGTAAGAGTACCACACTACCGGCACTTGTGGGGTTGCTTGAAATGGTGGATTGTTACTGCTTTCCAATTCACAACTGAAAGCGTTTGATCTGCCAAGGAGATACACATACACATAATACACAGCGTATGTTACAAATGTTGGTATTTATGTAACCCTTGTAATTTTTACATACAAATAAAAAGCAGAAGAGAAGGAGAGAAACAAAAGGAAAGAGAGGGAGATCAAATATTCTTGTTCCTGAAAGAAATTAAAATTGTCATGAATGTTTACACTACATGTTCAGTATTAAGTACAACCGAGATCAATGTCATATCAATGCAAAATATGTACATGACCTAAAAGTTATTTTCAGAATTTTCTTCCAAGTAAATAGTACAGACAGTGATAGGCAAGATTATGAGTTAAAAATATTGCAAAATTCTATTTGCAAGGCATTGTATTAACTTGGATGAAGAGGGGAAAAAAAACCTTCCAGAGCAAGGTACATGTACAATGTAAACAATGTGTACCGGTACTGCCACATTGACATGCATGAACAAAATCTACTTGAATTGTTGTAGATATCGGTATAGTGCCTGTGTTTTCCTAGTATTGTTTTTGAAGAGTCTGATAAAGCATGTCCTTCCTCCGGGTCGAGAGGGTTTTGTAGTTTTTTTTCTCAATATCATTGAAACACTAATGAATAAGGTAACTGTTTTCATTCTAAATAAGTTTTACAGGAAGATAAATGAATGTATTTGTAGTATTTCTTACAAGTACTTGTTCTTCTTGTTTGGAAATTTTTGAAGGATTCTTGAATAAAACTGGATGAGACTGCTTATGTAATGAATTGTTGTCTTTTTGTTTCTGTGAGCTATTAAAGTCGGAGTGGTATTGCAACCAAGATCAATGTAATGGAATGAAATATTTCATCAATACCAGGCTTGTACATGCGTATGTATTTGTAAAAGAGCATGTTATTTTTTAGGCAAAATTGTGAGTGAACAAATTTGGATAATTTCTCCGCAAGTCCTCCCCAGCCAGGTTGTATTTGTATGTACATGTACATGAACAGGCATGGATAAAAATGTACTTGAAATTTGTAAACATTTCGCCTGTCATTTCCTATTATTATTGTATTGCAGATTCTGAGAATGCCTATCCTTCCACAGGGTCCCGGTCAAGTAGGTTTTAGTTTCAATTGCATCACCACACTAAAAACTAAGGTCACTGTTTTTATTCCAAGCATGCTTTACAGGAAAATGAATCTGTTTGTACACCTTAAAAAAATGTTAACTACACTTGTTATTCTGGTGAATTGTTGCTTGGGACATTTTTAGGGATTCTTGTAGAATATAAAAGGAGTGGACTTCCTGATCATGATTTTTTTTTTTTTAAACTTGGTTTAGTCACAGTGGTAACAGGATAACATTTACCAACATGTACACTTATTTCCTGGATATTTGCCCTTATAAACAACCTCCAGGCTCCAGGACAATACATGTACACTGTACATGTACCGTAATTAACATTGTATAAACCGCCCTTGTGTATTAACCGCACCCCTCTTTTTCGCCCTAAAAAAAATTAAAAAATAAACTTTTTTTTTTTGCTGACTCTGTCTGCAGCAAGCCAGGTCTGTGTTAAAAAAACCTATGCGGGAAGGCCATACATTTAACTGGGAGGTGCAGCTGAATGTGTAAGATCATAAATGTAAATAAAAAAAACAGTAGAGGACCTAGGATAGAACCTTGTGGTACACCGTGTATTATTATAAACTACATATTGAGATCTATCAGAAAGATTACATTCAAACCAAGATGACAGACAAATTTGAGTGTTGTTCTAGTTTCCTAGTGGTGAAGTCAACACACTGATTACTTAGCTGGGAGACATTGCCAGGCATTTTTTTTTTTTTTTTGGTGTACCGTGTATAAAACGCACCCCCGACTTTAAATTTTTTTCGGCGGCAAAAAGGTGCGGTTTATACACAGTTAATTATGGTAGAAGAAGCAGGATCATATGAAGATTGTCCAAATATTTTGATAAGAAAATTGGTGAGTAAAGAAAGATAAATAGCACAGACAGATTTGTATCAATATCATAAAGTCCAATGTACATGTACCGGTTAGTACCATAGAAGAGTAAGTCAGAGCTGACCTGTTCAAGGGGTGAGGGAGTCTGGTTGCTTACTTGAATGCTGTTTATGTTGCCTACATGCATTTCTTTTGGAAGTAACAGTGGAAACAACTTCTGGTATTGAGTGCTCATGATATTAATTTACTAAAATTGGGAGAGCCGTAAGAAAATCAAAATGCTACAATGCATTTCTTTCACCCTCCTGAGAAGACTACCTGTACATGTAAAGTTGATTTTATTATATTTCAACCATTGAATAAAATCATGAAAATTGGCTGAATATCATTTTGTAAGACTATTCAAACTATCAAGAATTTGTGACTGCATACTGCAGGGCTCCCTACTAACAGTTGCTCGGGACCCTTAGGTGCCCAAAATCTAAATCTGGACCCCCTTTATTTTGTTAAATACGTAGGACTTATGCAAATGCAGACTTTAAAAAGTTCAATGGGGACCCCTCCCCCCCCCCCTTCCCCAACAAATAATGGGTAGAAACTTAGCCTCAAGGAAAAGATTAATTGTATCATCAAGACCAAAAGGAAAGAAATTTAATTAGCTTTCACACACCAAGATTGAAAATATTGAAGTACTGCATGATATACATGTATGTACGTGACTATGCAGATGAAATGGCACTTCTTGACCTCCTATGGTTGTGGGCGTTTCATTGCATGAAGCCATTTCAAGTGAATCCTAGGGATGCAAAGGTAAAATCTAATTGGTGCTTTGCCCTACATTTCACGGATATTAGGACCGTTGGCTTGATTTACTTCTGGGCATGACATTCATGCATTGATAACAACAAATCACAGACCATGAGACCAATATAGACTGAGTGTACATAACTCATAGCCATAAATAATGTAGATCATGGCTTCTCACTACCTTTAAAATACATTTAATATAATTAATTACCCATGTTTTAAACTGGATTATATTTAGCATCCTATATACTGTAAAGTATACAAGTGTTTTAATGCAAAAGAAGAAAAAGAAATGACTTGGCTTTCATCCCTATAAGAACCTGTTTGTTTTAAAATCAGCATTACCGGTATGTGAGATACTATAATTTTTAAGAATCAACTTTCATCTGATCTAATGTACAAGCACTTATCATTGTTTTGTCAGTTCTTTTAATTGAAATATATCTGTTTCTAAGTGTAATTCATAAGTTGGAATTTAAGTCAACTTACACATATCAATTCAAATATTTTGCTTAACATAGGCCATAATTAGTCAAAACCTTGAGTTAAGTTATAAAATACATATTAATAAAAATCAGGGAGAAGAGAATGTATTAAAACTACAACATCACTGAAATCAAATAACGACTCGTCTACAGGTTGTCCTGAAGGAGACACAAATTTGGACATAGATCTGCATCCTTGTGACCATGTCCCTAACCTTGGATTGAAATAGAAAATTAGAGCCAGAAAAAATTCTGTCTAGAATTAGAAACAAGCTTCCTACTCATGTTTTATGCATGCCACTTACATACACAGATCAGATGCCTTCTAGAGGCCACACAATTGTGTATGTCACATCTCCATCAGCTCCCCCCCCCCCCCCTTTCAGTCTACCA